TCCTCCTCCTCCTGCTCGTGCTACCGTAAAGAACGCACAGCAAGGAACGAGGAGGCTCTTCTTGCCACGGCGAGCCCTGGCCGCAGGCAGGTTCCACGGCAGCAGTCCCAGCAGCGGCCCGACATCCCGAGCCACTCTGAGCCCAACGCGGTCCTTCTACATCCTCCTCCTCCTCCTCCTCCCTCCTCCTCCTCCTCCTCCTCCTCCTCCTCCTCCCTCCTCCCCCTCCTCCTCCTCCTCCTCCTCCTCCTCCTCCTCCTCCTCCTCTTCGACTTGGCTCAAGGGAGGAAAAGCCACCCAGACCGGACAATTGGCGTTCACGAAACGGCCGTGGGCGTTTACTAAACAGCCCTGCCCTGTCTGATTCCTTCTCTGGGTGCGTTCACGCAACGGCTTCGCGTGTCCGGGTGGTTACCCTCGGGGCGGATCTTCTGCCCCCTATTGACTGTAGGGGCGGGTGGGTATCATGGCCGGGACCATGGACCCACTCCTACTCCTCCTCTTTAGGCCTCCTCGATGGGGTCGGAGTAGATGGGGTCGGAGGATCGCTCCGCATCGCCGATGCATCGGGCCAGGGCACGAGCGCGGGCGACCAGGGGACGGCTTGAAAGATGACGAGGGGCCTTTCTTGTTGGACCTGTTTCCACCACCACCACCATAAGTTGGAGGGGGGAAGGAGTTGGAGGATGAGGAGGAAAAAGAGGAGGAGGAGGAGGAGGAGGAGGAGGAGGAGAAGGAGTGCGAACCGCAGGAGGAGGCGGAGGTGGAGGCTGGAAGGCAGAGGCGGGGCGTGGCGAGGAGGATGAGGCTCGCCCCCTCTGCGCAGCCGCAAACACAGCGAGACGCGGGCCGTGCACACCTGCTGGCATGCGTGGTGCGGCGCCCTGGCAGTGGCGGCGCCGTCCTGGGGCCCCCCCCGCGGCGGCCCAGAGCAAGGGCAGCAGAAGAGGTGCCAACGGTTCGCGCGCAACCCACCGGGAGGGGGAGAGGGCGCCAGCATTGGTGTGCCGCGCGCTGATCTAGGCCTCCCTGATGGGGTCGGAGTAGATGCGGTCGAAGGATCGCGCCGCATCGCCGAGGCATCGGCGATGCCGCTCGATTCGGAGCCCGACTTGCGCCACGTCAGTGGCGCCAATGCATCGCCGACATCGCCGGTGCATCGCAGATGCATCGCCAATACATCGGCGATGCATTGGCGATGCGGCGCGATCCTTCGACCCCATCTACTCGGACCCATCTAGGAGGCCTCTAGTTGAGCAGCAGGGCCTGGAGGTTGTCCTGGGGGCACGCCCCAAGGGAAGCGGCAGGTCGGAGGGCCTGCTGGAAGCCGTCCCAGGCATTTCGCGATGGGTGGAGGCCGTCTAGCAAAGGAGCTGGCTGCTCCTGGATGTGCTGGCGAGAGTGAGCGAGGTGGTTTGGGTCACTGATGTAACGCGTTGATGCTCGCGATGAGGATAACTTCCTGGCGTCAGGCTGCCGACAGGCCGCCGAGAGGTGCTGTGTGGAGGGTTGCCTACGGTCGGTCCGCTGGGTAATTACCCAGGGCGCCGAGCACTGTGCCAGCGTCGGTCCGTGGCCGTTCGCTGCCCCCGCACCCTGTTGGGAGGAGCAACTCGCCTGGTGGTGGAGGGGGGGGTGTGACGGCGGCCAGTTCGTGCCCGTTGGAGAGTATCGATTGGCTCGCGTCGTGAAGGCCGCCGTGGTCCTCTCTGCTGTGACTCGGTCATAGGGGAGACATGTGACCATCTTCGCCAATCGGAGAGCAGCTTGAGCCGAGCGGATCGATTCCCTCTCCGTCGAGGTCGTCGAGCAGGTTGGACCAAGGATCATCGAGATGATCACAGTATTCGGGTCTATGTGGATCGTCGGGATGATCGGAGTCGCCTGGTGTGCCTGGTGGTTCGTGCCCGCTTTGGCTTGTGGTGAGAGAGTTTAGCTTCATCTTGCTGAGTTTCTCCCTCGAGTCACCGCTCTTCTGCCAGGCAAGGGAAGCGTTAGGTGACGTCGGCCGTAAATGGCGACAGCCGTTCTATGCAGGAGTGCCGCGATTATATGGTGCCACTTGGGGACGTCGGTAAGGCCTTGTGGTGGGCTGTGGAGGCGTGCGCCAGCAGTGGCGAGATTGTCGACGTGGCGATTGAACGACTCTGCGATTGGCGTGTCACTCCCTTCGTTGTTGCCTTGTTCGCCCACGTGGTTTGAAGGACCTGGTGGGTCTGAAAACCACGTGTCCCGTTTGGGCCGAAGGAATCCGTTAGTCTTAAACCAGAGATCGGTCTAAGCACCCACGCGAGGAGGTGGTTTACCGTTGAGGAGGGCCTCGGGTCCGTCGAGGTGGAGAAGGAGGAGCAGGAGGAGGAGGAATTGGAGGAGGAGGAGGAGGAGGAGGAGGGGGGAGGAGGAGGGAGGAGGAGGGAGGAGGAGGAGGAGGAGGAGGAGGGAGGAGGAGGAGGAGGAGGAGAGGAGGAGGAGGGTGGCGGAGGGTGGCGGAGCAGGAGGGTCGGTTCCAGGACAAGCAGGGGCCGAGATGGAACAATTATGGAGGAGGGGCACGCCTGGCGAAGAGCAGGTGGAGCGACTCATACCCCGCATCAGTCACCCGATGGGGCGCGAGGACCAAGGAGCCCTCCTCCTCCTTCTCCAAACTCCTCCTCAACCTCTTCCTCCTCTTCCTCCTCCTGCTCCTGTTATTGCTCCTCCTCCTCCTCCTCCTCCTCCTGCTGCTGCTCCTCCTCCTCCGCCGTCTGCTCCTGCTCCTCCTCCTCCTCTTCCTCCTCCTCCTCCTGCTCCCGTTATTGCTCCTCCTTCTCCTCCTCCTCCTCCTCCTCCTCCTCCTCCTCCTCTTCCTCCTCCTGTCGCTCCTCGCAGTGTGGGCCACCGAGTTGTCGACATTCACGGTGCAACGAGAGAGCGCAAGCATCATTCCGTTTCCGGGATCGCCACACGCGTGCGCAAAACATTCGAATTACACTGAGACGTCCTGGGTCTGCGCGTTGACCGACCAGTTCAGTCATGCCGCCTTCGGAGCAACGACCTTGCAGACTTAGCAACTTTTTCGGCTTCGGAAGCCCAAGCTTGAAAACCTGATAAGACCCACGCCTGCGTATCTTAGAGCACCCAGATTCAGAGCACGCGGATGTCCTCGGTCGGCGCTGCCCCCCCCCCTGGCGGCACCTCCGGTGCCGCCCCTGAGGCCCATCGCCGACCCAAAGAGATCCGCGGGCCTCCGAGAGTTTCTGCTCATGCGGCTTTGCCTCCCTCGGCCCGGCTCCAGGTGTCCCTGGCCCATCAGGGGCAACGATAGGGGGGGGGATAGGCACAGGTCTGAGCGTGAATAACATCCCCCGCTTTCGCTTCCAGGCAAAACCAAGTCATACCACGCGCCTCCTCGTCAAGCGGCCTGACCAGTACAGGCCGTAGTTTGGCATCGTTTGGTATCTCTTGGAAGCGAGGGTGGTCAAAAGCGAGGTAGGTTTGTTTCCCCCCTAATAGGGGGGGGGGGCATCGGCCCCCAAACGCCCATTGGTCGCCGATAGGGGCCCGATAGCCCCAGCCCGCCCCGGGAGGTGCGGGCTCACTCTCGGGGGCCTGTCGCCGATCTATCGACGATGCATCGCCGAGTCCAGATCGATGCATCTCAGGAGGGGAAAAAAACACACAGACAATTAATCGTCGATCCCCAGGAAAATATAGGAAAATATGGGAAGTGGGGGGGAATTCAAAAACCCAGAAAATATGGGAAAATGTCGGGAATCCTTTTATTTGAGTGTGTTCATTTGTGTGTCCTTGGGCCCCTTGATCCCTGTGCCTATCGCCCCCTTGTCGCCTCCCCTCAGCCCGGGGTGTCCCCAGGATGCCCAGGGAGCCCCTCCGCGGTCGCCCAGCGCGCTGCCTGAAAAGCAGCGGGCCGAGGGGCACGCCGCGGGGCCCCACAGAGGCCTCGGGGGCGCAGGGGCAGCGAGCTTCCCGGCGGGGGGGCGACACCCCAGACCCCCTCGCGCTGTGCAAAAGTCCAAGAGCCCACCACAGCGCTGTTTCGCCTGGTTTTTGCCTTCGGTTTGTCCTCCGTCTTCGTTTTCGTGGTTGCTTCGTTGTGTTGGTCGTTTTTGTTTCAAACGCGTTGTTCGTTCTGAACGCCAACGCGTTTTAAACATCGCCGTGGCCGGTCCTTGAAAAAATCACGGCGGGAGGTTTTTGGCTACTTTCGGCTTCCGGAGGCCCTCACCGGAAGGTGTCGAGAGACCTCTGGGATGGACTTTGGTCAGGAGGGGAACAAAAACACACAGGCACAATGAATCGTCGGTCCCCGGGAAAATATGGGAAAATATGGGGAGTGGTGGGGGGGAAGACGAGAATCCAACAAATATGGAAAGACGGGAAATCCTGCTGTTTGTGTCTATTTATTCGTGTGTCCCTGGGCCCCTTCGCTCTGGGGGTCGACGTTGCGACAAAACTCACGGCATCGGGGGTCTGGGACCGTCGCTCCCTCCTCCTGGCCATCGGCTTCTGCCTCTCCCGCCTTCCTCTCGTCGTCTTTCTCCCCGCCCTGTTCCAGTGGGCGTCAGCGCAGCGCCTCCTCGCCCTCCTCCCTTGGATTCCACGTGCCCCCTCTGTGGAGCCTCTGTCGCCTCCTCGCCCTCCTCCTCCCTGGGATTCCACGTGCCCCCTCTGTGGAGCCTCTGTGGTTGAGTGTGGGGCGTGGACGACTCATGATCATGAGGAGGAGGAGGAGGAGGAGGAGGAGGAGGAGGAGGGGAGCCTCTGTGGTTGAGTGTGGGGCGTGGACGACTCATGATCATGAGGAGGAGGGGAAGGAGGAGGAGGAGGAGGAGGAGGAGGAGGAGGAGGAGGAATTCATATGGAAGAGGAGCAGGAGGAGGAGGAGGTGGTTTAAGGCCCAGGAGTAGGAGGCGGAGGAGGACGACGACGAGGCCAGCTCTTCACTGCTCAGATGCCTCGGCTCCACAGCTGGCCCAGCCCGCCCCCGCCGAACCGCAGAGGTGCTCGGTCCCCGGACGGAGGAGGTCGCGCAGTACGTCGGTTGGCTGGTGCGCGCAAGCGCCCCCCCGCTCCTCCTCATCCTCCTCATCCTCCTCATCCTCATCATCAGTATCATCCTCATCCTCATCAGGATCACCATCACCATCATCGTCAGCATCAGCATCAGCATCAGCATCAGCATCAGCATCATCATCATCATCATCATCATCATCATCATCATCATCATCATCATCATCATCATCATCATCATCATCATCATCATCATCATCATCATCATCATCATCATCGGCATCAGCATCAGCATCAGCATCATCATCAGCATCATCAGCATCATCATCATCATGATTATCAGTACTATCATTTTCAATCTTATCATCAGCATCAGCATCAGCATCAGCATCAGCATCATCATCACCGCCACCATCATCAGCATCATCATCATCCTCAGCCTCAGCCTCAACCTCAGCCTCATCCTCATCCTCCCTCCCTGCTTCTACCAGGCGCCCTTTTCGTTGCTGTGATGCCGTGCCGGTGTGAAGATTGCAGGCGGCTTTGGTGTGCAGGACGCGGTGCAGGTGTTCAGCAGTCGGATTAAGCCCCGCAGTCCTGTTCGTGTTCATGCTCCCTCCTCCCAGCTCAGCCGTCCCTATGCCCCCCCCCCTATCCCGCTCCCGCTGCTCTCCCTGCCCCCGCTCTGCGTCCGTCTCCCCTTTATCATCCTGGCGACGTTCTCCGCTCGGCACCTCACCCCAGCGACTTGCCCTGTGTTGCCGTGCCTCTTAATCATGGTCGTCTTCATTCCCCCACGTCGGCCTCCTCTCAGGAGGGGAAGAAACACACAGACACAATTAATCGTCGATTCCCCACAAAATATGGGAAAATATGAGAAGTGGGGGGGAAGACAGAAACCCAGAAAATATAGGAAAATATGGGGACTATTTTTATTTGTGTGTATTTATTTGTGTGTCCTGGGGCCCCTTCATCCTCTGCTGTCATTCGCCCTCCCCGTCCTGCCCCGTGCCCCCCCCTGCTCTCAGTTGCTCGACCTCCACCTTCATGTTGCTCGACCTCCACCTTCCCCAGCACCTCGTCGGCAGTCCGCTGCTCCTCCCGCCCATGCCCGCGGCGGAGGACCGGGCCCTCCTTCTGCCATCGCCCTCCGACCGACCAGACGGGGCTGCGGGGCCCCTTCCCCCTCCTCCTTCGCCTCCTCCTCCTCCTCCTCCTCCTCCTCCTCCTCCTCCTCCTCCTCCTCCCCTTCCTCCTCCTCCTCCTCCTCCTCCTCCTCCTCCTCCTCCTCCTCCTCCTCCCGCTCCTTCGCCTCCTTCGCCTTCCCCCTCCTCCTTCGCCTTGCCCCTCCTCCTTCGGTATCACAAAGACCTTGGAATTTGGTTTTATGGGTCGTGCGGATAATTCGGTCAGGCCCAGCCCGGGGGCCTCGGTAACCCTTGTCAGCCCCACTCAATCACCAAGGCCAGGCGCGAGTATCTTGATCGGATAGCTCGCGACCTGTTCCCCAAGAGCTGAGCTCAGCCTTCTTCTCACTACGTGATGGCGAAAATCCTGGAGAACCTCCCCCTTCTTCTCCCTACGTCGGGAGATCATGCATCGGCCTTCTCCGCAAAGTCTAGGATGTCGCCTGCCCTCCTGGACAACTACTTACCATAAACCACTACCAGGTACGACGACGGGCGACCTGCCGCATTCTATAGTATTCTCGAATGGTCGCATCATCTTCAGAAAATAGACCTGATACCCCTTACGCCGATCCTCCTTCCTCCCTCCGTGCTACTCCTCCCTCCGCGCTCGGCTGACGGTTTGCCGTCGGACTCGCGCATGCGCTCGGTGTCGACACCAGGCATGACAGCGCACACGTGCGCGCCAGGAGGCTGCTTCAGGAGCTCGGCGCGACCGAGTCATGACGTTGCGCTCTGCTTTGGGGTATGCCAAGGACGCGGTGTCGTCTGCGGTCTGTGCGCGCGTGTCCGACAGCCCATTTTCCAGCACATGGATGTTCGGTGCCCGAGGCCGCCCGCGAACTCGTGATGTGCGGCGGGGGCCCACGCCAAGAGCCGCCCTGCTTGCCTCCGGGGCGCCCTGGGCTCCTTGGGCCTCGATGGTTTGTCGATGGGAAGCGCGACGCCCTGGGGTCTCGGGGTCGTTACCAGTTTGAAGCATATCCCCATCCCTGTGTTTGACATCACCTCAGCTCGATGCCGATCTTCAGGATTCCCTCGGTTTCTGAGGGCCTATCCCTAAGATTGTCCTCGCTTTTTGCTCGCCCATCTTAGGGACAGGGACGCGTTCGAGGCTGGTTAGGTTGGGCTTCTTGTGGGGGGGTTCTTGTGGACTGGCTTCCATGGTGGACTCCACGCCTGCGGCCTCCCCCCGGCGTTCCCCCTCCGCGGCCGCCCTCCCCCTCGCTTCCAATCTCGTGGGCCCTGGCCCAGCGCGGCCCGTCGGCGTTCGACCGCGCTGGCACTCGGCCTTCGCCGTGGACCAGAACAGCGTGCGTGCCCGGGCGCGTGTCTCTGAACCGGCCCCTCTTTGTTAATTTCGGGGGTGGACAGAACCCCCAACAGTGACACGTCGATTAGTGAATCGTCCGTTTTCGGTTCTCGAGAGGGCGCCGTGGCCGCTATTTTCCAGGCTTGCGCCCGCCAGGTTTGGGCCTCTGGTCGTTTTCGCTAAACCACGTTTTACTAAAGGGGGGTCTGTCCATCCCCGATAATTCAAGATTCGCGCGGCCCGCTCAGCTTCGACCAGAAGAGGTGCGCTCTCGACCCGCGAATCAAAAAAAGAAGTCTCTGAATTCGGAGGGCTCTGGGACAGCGCTCCGGGCCGGCAGGGGCCCCGCGTGGGGCATCCCAGAGGCGTGGGCATCACGAGGCACGCGGTGCGCCCACGGCGCCCGGCGCAGCTGGCGTGTGCGCACAGTGCACGCGGTGCGGGGCTTGTTTTCCACCACCGCCACCATGAGCTGGAGGGGGGAAGGAGGAGGAGGAGGAGGAGGAGGAGGTGGAGGAGGAGGAGGAGGAGAACCCCCTCCCCCTGCAACTTATGGTGGTGGTGGTTGGAAACAGGCCCATCACGCGGTGCACTTGGTACGCTTGGCGCAGCGGGTGCGCGAGGTGTGCGCAGCGTGCGTGCGGTGACCAGCTCTCCGGGAACTGGCTGTGCCCTGTGTGCCTGGCGCGCTCGTGGCACCCGGTGCGGATGGTGCGCGGGGTGCGCAGCGTGCGCCCCAGGAGCTCTGGGTCTCTCGGGGAGGTGTTTTTTCTCTCCCCCAGACATGTTGGATGATTTTGGTGGCAATTTGAAGTCGACGGAAAGCTCTGAACGACATCCTGGGCCATTGGGAATAAGGGGGTTTGGAAGAACGAACGCATGAGACAATATACGCCCTAAGGATATGCTGGGATTGTGGGGCAGCGATGCCATGACATGAGTTGGTGGCTGGTTAGCCCGCCGGCACGTGAGGGGACGTTGAGGTCAGAAAACGTATGTTGTGTGTTGGGGTAGTTCCAGCTTTCAGTACCCTCAACCATGTTGCTATATTGCAATGCAGCGTTCTTGCTTTCTTTCCACTTCCTACTATGTTTCTGCCAACTGTGTACCTGCACGTGTTCACTTGTCACGCCTACTCGCCGCTACATCGACTATAATTACCTGGCCCCGCATGTGCAATTGTGCCGTCCAACCCCAATCACCAGGCCGTTCATAGGGGTGATGAGCAGCTGGTTCGGCAGGATGTCGATTACACGGCGGGCCATTGCTGATACGCAGGGTGCAGGCATTGATGGATTTTCTCAATACAGTGGGCAAGCGGGTATTGCAACCGTGACCTTGTACGAAATGAATATTCTATGTTGATGGCGATGTAGCAGGCATGGCGAGATAGTTTCTCCTGGGCAGGTGTTCGATTACAGCCAGAAAAGCCACGGGCCAGTAGGGGCCAGACATTTTGCAGTCGGCTTGAAGGTCCCTTTTCGTGCAGCAGCGCGTGTCTTGTCATGGATTGTTCCCGTGCGGCTATCTGCAAATGGATTCTGAGCTGTTGTGCTTGAGGGGACCACGGCTCGTGGGACACGTGCTCTCGCCCTGGCGCTGGTCACATGTTTGACTCGGACAGGCGCCCTAGCGCCCCAGCCTTAGCACCGACCACACCTCCTGCTCGGAGTGTCGTTCTCGTTTCGGCGCGGGCCTCGGAATGGCCCCTTCGCTTCAGCGCCAGCCACGCGCCCGCCTCCTCGTCACAGCGCGTGTAAGACTTTTGACTCAGATGAGGGCTCATGCGAGCGTGCCAGCCACACTCTTGACTCGGAATGGCGCGTCACCGTCGCCGCAGCGACGGCCACACTACTGACTCGGTGTTGGTGCTCTTGCCCCAACGCGGACCGTGTTCCCAGTTCTGAATGGCGCTGTCGCTTCAGCGGTGGCCGCATCCGTGTCCCCTGAGATCCGACGTGGCGAGAGAAATTCAACATGGCGAAGCATCACTACCGGAGCCCCAGATCCCATCTTCCTGCTGCGTTATTCAAGCCAGATCGATGTGTGATGACCCTGGGGCCCGAAAGCGGGCGAACACGCCCTGCGTGAAAAAAGTTCCAATGCTCAGATATCAGCATCTCCAAGAAGGACTCCTCGCCTTTGACTCCGGGTACGGGTACGGTCTTGACTAAGCACCAGTGCTCTGGCGACAGGGGAGGGCAGCGGTGAGGTGCCTGCGGCGCTCCACCCGCTGTGCGACCAGGTGGCCTGGTAGGGTGTTGTGTAGGCTGTCCTCATTGGCTGGATCTCGAGATTTTGAACAGCTACAGAGCTCTCCAGAACACAAAATAGCATTGGTCCTGACTCGATGAGAGAACAGGCAGCCGGACGTTGGAGTAAGGCGGTGGATTACGTGTTGTTGTTTGTTTGTCCATCTTCGTCTTGCTCCCCGTTTCTCTTGACGTCTTTCGCTGCTTTATCGGGGAAGCGACTCGAGTCCGCCAGAAATCGGGCTCGCCAAAGCCCGCTGCTTGGCCCGTTCTGGATTTTGACGTTCTAGCTTTCGTGGGATATTTTTAGTTGGAGCTCGCGTCAAATTTCAGATTGAGTCTCGTCGTTTTTCTGATGGCCCGGTCAGGCCAATCCGAGTCCCCCGAACCCGAGTCTTACTCACACCTCCCCTAATTATTTTAAACGAGGGATTCGACAGCGCTCTGAAGTCAAACTTAAGAAGCATTGCTAGGGAAAACGGTCTGCAACCTGCAGGGTGCCGAGGTCGCTGCGATGGCATCAGTTTTTGTAGACGTGCAGTGGGACGGTCAGCCAGAGCGGTGCCAAAGCGTGTGCATCCTCGGGCACGCAAATCGAATAACAAAATGTTGTACAAACGCATTTTCGGAGCTCCACGCGGATGTCTTGGATCGGCGTTGGGCCCCTCTGGCGGCGCCTCTTACGGGCCCCAAGAAGTCCACCACCTCCCTCGTCCCCTCCCTCCAGGAAGAATGGAGAGGAAGAGGATTGTAGAGGAGGGGAGGGGGAATGGAGCTGGTGGTGGTGGACGTTTTTGGCACCCGCATCTCTGTCTCTGGCGCCGCTACTGGCGCGCGGATCGCGTCAGGGAGGGGGTCCAGCCTCGATCGAAGAAGTCCGCGCGGAGCTCGGGAAGCTATGGTTGTGCGGGTCTCCTTGGCGGAGGTGGGGGCCCCTTTGTTCTCTTCAGCTCCTCCTGTCGCAGGCCTTCCTGCCTACCATCACTGCAATGCAGCCATGGGCTTCCCTGCTCTCCCCTCCTATATCTTGCCGAGCTGCGCTTGCCGCAGCTGAAGCTACGGGTGCGCCAGACGGTCGTCCAATAACGAAGAGAATATGTATGTTTCCCACTTCTCGAGTAGAGTATCTCCAGGTCCCCGTCCATCTCGTGCATCTCTCCGGACCGCCCCACAAGCCACAAGCCGAGTCGAGGTTGCGAGATTGGGGATATTCGAAATATGTACGCGTCCCTGCTGGAGCCGACTCGTTCTGTTGCTGGCGAAGGGGTCACTCGATGTCACGTTTGGGTAGGGTTGCGACCTCTCAGGGAAGTGCATTGGAAAGATCAAACAGCAATATCAGAGGTAGGGTTGACATCATAGTCCTTCCGAAAGCATGCGTTATCTTCGATGTGTTGCCCTCCCTTTTCAGACCCTCTCCTTGCCCTCATCATTATCCCTTATACCTCCTCTCTGCCCCTTCCTCCTCTAACAGGAGTCCAGTGCTTGCCATACGCCGAGACAGGAGACTGTGTTCAGCCCCAGGACCCGAGAAGCTCACTTACGTATTCCACAGAAGTCCATGCCACAAGACAGTTGTGCCGCTCACGGAGTTGGCAAAGCCGTCTCTGAATCCCATCTTGTGTTCTTTCCTTTACCATTGCAGCGTTTTTTGAAACAGATAAGGTCGATGTACATGTAATTACATTTAAATGTCTCCTTCTAGTACAGCGCGCTGGCCAGCGGACGTAGATAGAGGGTCCTGCAACGTATGCTCCTTCTCATCTCCCCATCCCCTCCTCAATCTTTCCTTTTCCCTTATCGCTCATCGCCCCTCGTGTGGAGGTGGAGGCCGCTGAAGGCGTCGCCGCCGAGTTGATGCTCGACAGCCCGGTGGAGCTCGAAGCAGGCGTGGCGGCCCCCGCCTTGCTGACAGGCACTCGGGCGTTGCGGACGGCTGCTCGGGCGCGCCTGCTCGTCCGCAAAGGGCGGGCCTGGCCGACGGAAGGGCCGAGGGGCGAAGGGGTGCGTCCATGCGGGCTCGCTCCTTGAACTGCCTGCGCTGCGTCGAGCCACCGAGGGAAGTGGGCGCCTCGGCGAGGACGAGAGGGCCGCGCTCGAGAGCAGGTGCAGCTGCGCACGTAAGCGTTTACAGCATCATGGTTTCCGTCGAGCCCCATGTTTGAGGCCCATAGTTCAATCACGATACACATGGGAACTTCTCGCTTGTGTCCGTTCAATAAGTATTGTCTTGGAGTGTTCCCGGGTCGCCCGGCAGGTGCCGGTGGGCATTGCGACGGTAAGAACGAATGTTGCCCGATGGGCCTGCGCGTCAAGACATTGACAATACGTTGAGGTGGTTCGGTCCGTTCCACATGAGACATCCTCATAAGTCAGTGCTCCGAGACGACCAGATTTGACATGGTCTGGTCCGTTTCGCTTGAGACATCTTCGCAAACCTGGGCTCCCAGACGCTACGCGAGAGGTGGTCCGGCCAATTCACTTGGGCTGGGGGATACCGTAACTAGGTTGCTTCATCCTTTTCGCTTGAGACATCATCGTTGCGCTAGGCTTCAAGGTGCCGCCCGCGAAGTGATCCTGTCTGTTTCGCCTGAGACGTCCCCGCAATTATGGGCAAAGAGATGCCGCGCGCGAGGGGGTCCAGCCAGTTTCGCATGAGACGTCCCCGCAGTTGCGAGCAACCGTTGAGGAGTGCGAAGCGAAGGGGGAGGGGGAGGAGGAGTAGCATAATGATTGAGAACGAGGTTGGGAACGATAATGCTCGCATTGCTGTCAGACAAATACTCATGTTTTCAATGCTCTCGGGACACTTCTCGTCGCCAGGGCTGGACGAGGCTCGATCATGCCTGGTGGTGCGGGCTGTGTCACGGGCCCATTCGCGCCCAGATTGTGAGGATGTCTTGAACGGTCCGTTAGTTTTACGGGGTGGAGGTGTGTTTCGAAGCCGTATGGTCCTCGCTGGCCACTTCGGTTGACTTCTGGAGCTGTCTGGGTCCCATCCAGGGTTTGCCTTGGCTGACGAGGGGGGCAGTGCACCTGTGCCCTGGTTCCAGTTCCAGGGTCGCCCGGGACAGATTCGGGCTACCCCAGCAACCCCAACGGCGGTGCCGGGGACCAGTTGCATTACCAAGGGTGTTTTTGTTGGTTCCAGGTGCTGGGGGCGGGCGGCGTCCAAATCATTGAAATATTTCTGCCCCCCCTGCGGCCAGCCCACGAGCGCGGGGGTCTAAGCGTCTCGCCGACTGCTGCAGGGAACGAAGCCGAAGGGCTAACTCGTTTGGCCCGCGGGACAGAATGCCCGTTTGAGAGAGCAGGTTGCGACCCGCCGTGGCCTCTCACGAGAGAGGATCATCTCGCGGGGCTCCGCGAAGGCCCCTGGAGTGCAGGGACTCGCCTTCTAACGCAGGTCAATAGGTCGATCGGAGGAGGAGGAGGACGACGACGACCACAAGGACGAGGAGGAGGGACAGGAAACCGAAGACGACGAGGGCAAGGACGAGGATGGGGAGGAGAAGGAGGATGAGGAGGCGGAGGAGGAGGAGGACAACGAGGCCGAGAAAAAGCCCTCGTAGCCGCCCCTGGGATTTTGTGGGGGGTCTTAGGGCCCTCTAGGGGCCTTCTTGGAGAACTTTGAGGGTCTCTTGGGGGCCCTGAACGGCCTCTTGTGGCCATCTTGGAGACTATCGATTAAAAGGGGGAGGGTGGTCCTCGATTTCTGCCCCCCCCCTTCCCCAAAGCCATCAAGCTCGCCTTTTGTCGCCGCCGCGGTTCCCGCAGTGCTATCTCACGCATGAGCGCTCTGCCTATCGCCCAAGGTTAATCCAGATGTCCCCAATGTTGCCCCATGTTTCCCACGCAATTCCGCCGATGGCACGAAAACGGGCTAACGAAATCCCAAGACAGCGCACGAGGTTTCTATGGCAACCTGGAGTCACCCAAAACCGTTCGGCCGAGCGCGCGTTCCTGTCACGGGCTCCGCCGATACCGCATCTCGCGTCACTGCATCAGACTCCACCCATGTTTCGTCTAGAATTCGAGCGCGCGCGAAGCACGCGCAATGGTATATATTCTTATATATTTGTATGGGGCCAGGGACCCCAGAAAAAACGCTCCCCCCCAACCTAACGTCCCCGGGCTGCTTGAAGCGCCCCCCGGGCTGCTCGGACGTCCTTGCAAAGGGTTCCTTCGGCCTTCCGGCCTTCTTGGAAGGTACAAAGTGGCCTCTCATATTGCCCAAAGCAGCTCGTCGACAGTTCCAAAGTACACCAAAGCCTTCAACATGGCTTCCAAACGCCCCAAGAGGCTTCCCAACAGGGCCCGAAAAGGCAACCTTCATGGATTGTTCAATGGTTTTTGAAGGCTTTTTCGGTTTCATTTTTCCGGGACAAGAACGGCCCAAGACGGCCCAAGAGGTTCCAAAGATCGTCCCAACACGGCCCCAGAGGCCCCCCAAAGGGCTCGAAAATTGCCCAAGAGGGCCACCTAGACAGCCCAAGAGGGCCAGAACAATTTCCGTAGCCATTTTGGCTCAAGGCAATTTTTAGTTCGTTACCTTCGTTCCTTACGTCACGCCTGCGATCTGTCATAGCTCCATCGAGTGAGATGGGCGCCTGGACGCTAAACCCGGCCACGTGGTTGGTGCTCTTGCTCGGGCGCAGCATACCCACCGCATTTGCCCTCGAAGCGTTGCAGCTGCGCGCCAACACTTCCTCGGAGTCCGCAGCTACCTGGACGCTGCTGCTCAGCTCGACTTTGGGCAATACAATCATCGGGGACTTCTCCAGCGGCTCCACGTACGGAAGCCAGGGCAGCTACACCTGGTCAGACTATCGTATCGGATACACTGGGTCGCAGCTCCAGAGTATCGGCATGTCCGGTATGCGCGTGACTACCGCATCTGGGTATTCCGTCGAGCATTATTGGACCGTGAGTGCCTCGGGCTTCGACAACACGTGCACGAGCTGCAATTGTGGCGGCAACAGCCTCGGAAGTAACTACTACTGGCACGGTGGACGCGGCGGTTGCTACGGCTCGACGCATTTCGGGCTCAAGAGGGAGGCCGACGTGCACAGCTGGTGCAACGCTGGGGGCTGGGATAACGGTAATGCCTGGGGTCATTTTCACCGCACTCACATCAACACGGGCGTCTATTTCTTCGGCGACAGCTGCATTAACGAGAATGAGTGGGGGGAGCGGTACTATTTCTGGGGCGCCCTTGCGACGCCTTCCCCGACGCCCTACCCGACACCCTACCCGACGCCGTACCCGACTCCGTACCCGACTCCGTACCCAACGCCGTACCCGACTCCGTATCCGACGGCCTACCCGACTCCGTACCCGACGCCGTACCCGACGCCGTACCCGACTGCGTACCCGACTCCGTACCCAACGCCGTACCCGACGACGTACCCGACGGCCTTCCCGACTCCGTACCCGACTCCGTACCCGACGCCGTACCCGACGCCGTACCCGACGGCCTACCCGACGGCCTACCCGACGGCGTACCCGACGGCCTACCCCACGCCCAGCCCGACGCCGTCCCCGACGTATCTTCTAGGCTGGCCGACGCCACACCCGACGTTCCCTGCCGGAGCTCCCACGGCGGGTGGAGCTGGGGCATCCGTGGCTGCCACAGGCGACCCACACTTGCAAAACGTCTATGGTGAACGGTTCGACCTGATGAGGCCTGGCAAGCACACGTTGGTTCACATTCCACGGGACGAGCGCATGGAGAATGCGCTGCTTCGTGTCGACGCCGACGCTGTGCAATTGGGTGCGCAGTGCACTGACATGTACTTCCAGGAGTTGAACCTCACAGGTGCGTGGGTGGAGGCTAAGCGGACCGGGGGCCTCTATTTCCGCGCTCAGGATATGGGCGACGCAGATCCGAAATGGGAACACTTTGGGAAGCTCGAAGTGAAGATTGCCCATGGGCTCACGCACGATGGGATCCGGTACTTGAACTTTTACGTGAAGCACCTCGGACGTGCCGGGCTTGCTGTCGGAGGACTCTTGGGAGAAGATGACCACACTGAGGTAGCAATCCCTTCGGACGAGTGTGTGCGGCGGAACAGCATGGATCTGTAGGAGGATAGATTCTTGTGCAGGAACGCGTACGATCCCGAACCTCACCCGGTGCACATACGCCCCTTACGTTGCAGAGGCAATTGTCGCCCAACGACGCGTGCATGAGATGAGGCCACCTTCTGCCACCAGGCGCGCCGGCTCAAAGCACTGTCTGCCTCATCGTACGCAATATTTCTGTGAAGGCGCGAGAAAAAAAAGAAAAGAGGGCCAGAAAAATTACCAAGGGAGCCCCAAGACGGCCCCAAGAGAGAGCCTCAGGAGCACCCCAAGACGGCCCCAAGAGGGCCCCAACAGGCCCCCAAGACAGCCCGGAGACGGCCGAAGGCTTCCAAGTAGCCCAAAGACGGCCCGAAAGGGCCCCAAAACGGCCCAAGAGAGTACCAAAAGGGCCCCCCAAGAAGGCCCAAAGACGCAAAAATCATTGATTTGTTGAAGAGGTTTTTTCGGTCTTCGCTTGTTCGGGCCACGCACGGCCCAAGACGGCCCACGAGCGTTTTACATGGAATTTCCTGGTAAAGCATATTGCACGGATGTAGATATCGTTGAACAACAAATTACCGTGTGAAACGAGCGTCGAACGCTCCTGGGACGTTCAGACGTTGGAAGGCGTTGTCATTTGATATACGTACGTACATACATACATACATACATACATACATACATACATACATACATACATACATACACATGCACATGCGTACATACGCAAAATCAATTCACATGTACACACACATCCCCCCGAACGCATTTTGGACTCCCCGGGCTTCTGGGAAGCCCCTTCCTGGGCTGCTTGACCTGCTGGGAAGCTCCCCGGGGGCTGCTCGGACGCTCTTGCAAGGGGGTTTTTCGACCTTCCGGCCTGAGGTCTTCAGACCAGCCTTCGCTTGAGACTCCCTCGCACAGCTGATTTCGGAGATGCCCTGCCCCATAGTGCTCGGGCCAGTTTCGCCTGAGACATCCTCGCAAAGTCAACCTCGGATACGCCTTGCCGCGTAGCAATCAGACACGTAGTACTCCTACACGTTCACAAGGCCTCCAGATTTTTCCCAAAGGTTCTGGCGGCGCCCGTCGTTGAGTCCCTCTCAGGTCCTGTCTTTCAACGCTCTCGGAGGCCAGCTCCCAGCGTCTTGCATCCGCGTCAGTTTCAGCCTCCATGCCATGACTCTCGATCCTGAGCGTTCGTGCCTGCCTGTCCTCGGGTCCGCGGGACTCCTCTCATTACTCTTTCCCTTCGCCTTCCTCCTTCCCACTGTCGGCTAAGACTTCCTCGCAACTCTGACTCCAGAGAAGCTCTGCCCCAAGGTTGTCCGGCCACTTCCACTTGAGACCTTCTCGCAATTTTGGGTCCGGGGTTCCCTGAGCTGAGGTGTTCCGGCCACTTTCGCTAGAAACATCCTCGCAACTCTGGATTCCGAGATGCCCTGCCGCAGAGTTGTCCGCTTTTTTTCACCTGAGATATCCTCGCAACTTTGGATTCAGGGATGCCCTGAGCTGAGGTGTTCAGGCCATTTCGTTTGAGACATCCTCGCAATTCCGGGTTCGGGTATGTCCTCAGCTGAGATGGTCAGTTCACTTTCGCTTGAAGCATCCTCGCAACGCTGACATCGGAGATGCACTGCCCCGTAGTAGTCTGGCTACTTTCGCCTGAGACCCTCGCACCTCTGAGTTGCGAGATGCCCTGAGCAGGCGGTCAGGCCATTACCAATTGAGATACGAATGTGTATGCGCACCCGTAATAACATATATGTGCGTGCACCAACAAACACCTGCGATGGACATATAACTAGACATACACATGTATATACAATGTGTATGCACTTTTATTACAGTATACATGCGTGGTATACACATAGATTTATGTGCAGAGCGTGCATGCGCGTGCGCGTGTATACATGCATGCGCACATGTACTCACGCACGCACCCCGCTTGCGTGCGAAACTCAGAGGACCAAGGTGCATGGCGCGCAGCGCCAATGCAGTCTTCTATATGTGTACATATTTGTGTATGTATGTACATATATATGTATATATGGATGTGCATGTCTGCCTGCCTGCCTGCCTGTCTGTCTGTCTGTCTGTCTGTCTGTCTGTCTGTCTGTCTGTCTTTGTGAGTGTATGTATGTGTGTAAGTTTGTTCGTGTATGTATGTAGGCATGCATGTCTGCAGGTATGTATGTATGGATGTATGTGTGTATGTATGCATGTATGTATTTGTGAATGTATGTGTGTACGTACGAATATATACAGATTGGTATGATTGCGTGCGTGGGCGAAGAGTACTTCGGGTGCCCCGGAGGAATCACTGCAGCGAATGTGACTTGTTGCGTTCATCGCACGAGTGTCTTCTCGTTGGCTTGCCCGTCTCTCAGATGCTGTGCGACGCCTCTTCTGGCGATGCCCCGCGCCGCTCGCCCGAGGTGTTGGCTACGACGTGGCACGCCGCCCCACCCCCCACCCCCGCGCTCTCTTCGGGCGATGCCCGCCGCGCGTGCGGGGCACCCTGCCAGGAAAATACGCCTCGGCCTGGCGTCGGCATTCGAGGGCGTCAGTTCGCTTACGTCTCACGTCTCCGGAAGGGGTCTCAGTTATTGCGTGCACAGGGCCGACTGCGGTACCGTCGGGCTGCCCATGGACGCGCTTCGGCGGGTACCCGCAGGGCAGCGCCCTGGCAGGCTCACTCGGGTTGGCCAGGGAAGGGCTTTGGCAGGCACCTGTCAACGCACTTCCCTGGGCAGCCCGGCGGTACCCTTGAGTCGGGCCCGTCCCTCTACAGGAGGAATACTCAAACATAAAAGCCATTAGGTGGTATGGAAATTACCCCAGTGCGACCCTACCTAGAAGTTGGAGCCCCTAGGAAAGCAGCATTACTTGCTATGCCATGCCATGCCATGCCATGCTATGCTGCGTTATGCTCTGCTATGCTATGCGCTGTGCTGTGCTGCGCTGCGCTATGCTATGCTATGCTATGCTACGCTATGCTATGCTATGCTGGGCTATGCTATGATATGCGGTGCTGTGCTATGCTATGCTACGCTATGCTATATTGTGCTGTGCGATGCTATGCTAAAGCTCCGCGAAGGATGAAGCTAAGCTAAGTTAAGATAAATATGAGCTAAGATGAAGCTAAGCTAAGCTAAGATGAAATGAGCTAAGCTATGATGATATAAGCAACGCTAAGCTACGGGGACGTAACTGGGGGAACCGCGGGGCGGATGCCGGGGGAACCGCCCGGGGCGGAGCCCACTGCCCGGCCCCTTCAAGCTCAGAGAGTAAGAACCTTTCCAGGCAGAGCCTAGGTAGGGAAGAATTGGTCTAACCAAGGTTGGCCAGAGGGGGTTGGCCGTGAGGGTTGGCCCGATTTCCAGAGGTTGGCCAGGAAGGTTTGCCTGGTCCGTCGTCGCACGTGCTGGCATTGCGTCGCTCAGAAGGGTCGGCTGGGATTGGCCAGGGGTTTGGCGACGCCTACTCTTAGATAACGAGATCTTTCTATAACATATAGTCGTCCGGGGACGTTGTTCTGACTATGTCTGAATATTTGAAGGGTATTCAGGGGGTATGTTTTATGTTTCGTCCAGAATCCGCCTGTATGGTGACAGGCCCGACCCAACTGTACCCACGGCAGTTTGGCCCCTGGCTCCCCACAAGCCACCCCAACTGGCCGGTCCCCAAAGCCTACCATGCCCCCCAGGACGCCACTGGGGTGCTCGCCCTGCCCTGTCCCCGGCTCCCGCTCCCCGCCCCCCCCCTTCCCTTGCCGCGCCCTCCGTGCCTCCTCCCTCGCGATTCCAGTCTCGGAGGGGCCCGATGTATAGCACCACGGCGCCCTTCCTTCCTTGCCTCCTTTCATTCCCTGCCTCCCTTCTCTGCCTCCCTTCCCTCCTCCCTACCCTGTTGCGAAGTGCAGGGCGGAGCGCCCGTGTTCTATTCGGTTTCGCCCCCCCCCACCCCCCAACCGCGATTTGAAGATTTCCCAGAAAGCCATGTGGGGTTTCAATGGGAAGGTGTGGGACTTCCGCGCGGAAAAACAACACAAACAAACACATAATCTATGTATACCGCCACGGCGCTTGGTTGCCTAAGGAGCCAGGGTGCCCGGCGATGGTGCTCGGCGCACAGTCGTTCCAGCATCCCGCGATTCGGGGAGTTGGGGTGTCTGTACACCGAGTTCCTCGGCCGATCAACCGACACAGTGTATGTTCCGAGACCCTCTCATCAGAGGGGGAAATGATACCGCTACCCGCTACACTTGCCTCGTTTTCTCCAGTGTGGGCCCCCTGGGACTCCCTCGTATTCACCTCGAAACCCTGGTCAGAACGCATCATCCTTCAAGAGGTCTGGGGAGCAGCGTTATCGGTATAGCTTGGTTTATTCATCCCACCGTAACACAGTGGTGTAGGTATCCTCCCTCGCGGTCCCCGTCCCCGCTGTCTCTCGGCGGCGCGCCCAGGGGGGAGATAGCACGGCGGGCAATGCTCGTGCTCGGGCTGACACCGAAGCACTGTCGCGGAGCAACCCGTGGTCGGGGCCTCGTAGAAGCTCCCGCCTCTCCTCCTGCTCTTCCTCCTCTGCCTCCCTCCTCCGTGCACGGCGCCGGGGGCTGCGTTTCCTGGACCCGGCGGCGGGTCCGAGGCCGAGGGTGCCTCTCGAGCGCGGTCGGCATGCCGTGGCCGCGTCCCGGCACCTCCGCTCCGACCTCCTGTGATGGGGTCACGTGCCATTCGTTTGCCTTCGCGCGAGGCAATTGGACGTGAGAGTGACCTCTTGCCGGAGTGACCTTTGGTGCGGGCACGGATGGGCCCCCGGATGGCTGAACGCGAAGCGGTAGCAGCGGCTAGCGCGCCTGGATTTGGCCTCCCCGCCGCGGCCCCCCAAAGATGCGCACCAAAGGTCAATCTTACCCAGGGTCACTCTTACGTGTAGCCGATTGAGGCTCGTCGACGAGCCCAGGGAGAAGCGAGAGGGGGCATGCCTCCTCGCAAGGGCGGCGGGGCTTCTCAGCGGCCCTCGCGCCTTGTGAGAAGCGCGCTGTGGGCTTTCTCCGAAGCCACCGACGGCTTTTCAGAGGCCCTCGCACCTTCTGAGAGGCCTTGTGCGCCTTCTCCGAAGCCACTGGCTGCTTCTCAGAAGGCGCGAGGGCTTCTGCGCCGCCCCGCCGCCCTCGGAGAAGGCCTGCGCCCTCTTTTTCCATGGGCTCGCCGCCGAACGGAGGCGGAGAGGGAGGAGGAGGAGGAGGAGGAGGAGGAGGAGGAGGAGGAGGAGGAGGAGGATAACTATCAGCAGCATACAGCACTTAGCCCATGAGAGGGACATCACACGTATCCGTTCCCGAGCGCCGTCCAGCAGCTGCACGAGTGGAGCCCCAGGGAAGGGGCGCTATGCTCCGCGCGCGTGCCCCGTCTCCGCGGTCCTGCCTCGGCGTCAGGTGCTGTGCGTGAGAGGGCCTCCCTCCACCTGCGGGGAGCCCCGCGCCGCCTTCCTGCCGGGGAAAGGCCAGTGAAAGGGGGGAGTACGGCGTCACGCTTCCTCTTCGGGGGGCTCTGTCTTGGAGGAGCTCTGAGGACGTTTCCGTTGGTTCTCGGCTGCTTTCCAGCCGCGGGATGCCTTCCAGCAGTTGAGCCTTGCCGAGAACGTTCCCGAGGTGCTCACATCGTCCCGAACGCCCGCCGGAGGCCCGGAATGCGGTCCAGAAGCCCTTCGGGGCAACACTCGGAAAGGACATGTTCAGGGGGGAATGCGTCGAGCCCCAATCGCCCATTCAGCGACGATAGGGGCTCGATAGCCCAGCCCAGGACCGTGCGGTTTCGCTATCGGGGTCCCATCGCCGATGTGTCGCCGATTACAGGTCGGTTATTTCGTCCGAGCCAGCCCCGTCGAATGCCCCCCCCAGTTTGGTAGGGGCTCTGTCTGTCCCGCACAGTGCGGCCTTCCTTTGCATCTGAGACGGTTTCAACGTTCGACGCGGATTTGACGCGGATGGCGGCGCTGCAAAGATGCAACGACCCGCGGGTTCTACGCGGATGGTACAACACAAGGCCCCCTGAAGGTGCAATGTCAGCTTTGGGCGAGCCCGTCGAGTCGATTGTATTCTGCCCTGTGTTGCCCCCCCTGTCGCATGCCTCCTCCCCCGCGCTTGCGCGGGCAAGGAGTGCGAGCACAGGGTGTATCCGGGTTCCCATCGCCAGTTCGGCGAACGAGGGTGTAATCACGGCCTCATGCACCTTATCCCGACCGTATTCAGGTCTTGTGCGAACCGTTTGGAAGTCTGGAGATGCGTTGGGAGAAAACCCTGAGGTGGTAGCATGGATCCTAGAAGCATAGTGTACTCCGGATGCTGATATCAACATGACAATCCTGGCGCCGAGGATGACGACCCGAGGAGTGGGCGGACGTAAAATGGGGTAAGAGGAACCAGTGGTGCATACAGCATGCCGTCGTGAGGGGACCTCCAGCCAGAGGTCCACGGCACCGGGTCGTGTGAGGGTTGCTTTGATCATGACGGGCAGACAATTCGGAGGTGGGCGAGCTTTCTGTCCCGACGCCCAGCACCACGAAAGCACAAGATTGGCGTTGATCGTTGTCTTTGCTGGTCGTCAGCTGACGATGCTCGTGCTCAGGATGACACCGAAGCGCTGTCGTGGAGCAACTCGTGGTCGGGGCCTTCTGAGAGCTGCTGCTCCGTCTCTTCCTCCCCTCCCCCACCCCTCTGTACTACCTGGCGCTGGTGATCGGGAGTGCTGGACCCGGCGGCGGGTCCGGGGCCGAGGGTCCGTCTCGAGCGAGGTCAGCATGCCGTGGCCGCGTCCCGGCACCTCCGCTCCGGCCCCCTTCTAGAATGGGGCTGCGTGTCATTCGCTCGCACTGGTTAGGGGAGGCTGAGAGTCGTCGGCGACCCCAGGGGCGAGGTGAGAGGGGGCATGCCTTCTCAGAAGGCGGCGGGGCTTCTCAAGAGCCCTCGCGCCTTCGGATGAGCCGCCTGTGGCTTCGGAGAAGGCTTCCGAAGGCTTCTCCGAAGGTACGAGCGTTTTTGAGACGACCCAACGCCTTCCGAGAAGCCCTGCTCCCCTGACTTCTCGCCTGGGCTTGCCGCCGAGTGGAGGAGGGGAAGGAGGAGGGGGAGGAGGAGGAGGAGGAGGAAAATCAAGCAGCAGACAGCGCCTTGCCCAGGGGAGGGTCATCACGCTTCTCTTGAGCGGCGTCCATCAGCTGGACAGGGAAAGCCCTGGGAAGCACGTGATGCACCCAGGCTGTGCGGTCCGTCCTCGCTGCCGCCTCCGGTGGCGCAGAACCCGCTGAAGCTAGGCGAGAGTCCGTTCTCCACCAGGGGCATGAGCACGATCCCCCCCCGTCGCAGAAGCTCAGGGGCAACGTCAGGGGCGATAGGCTCAAGGGGTATACATCAAGGGCGCCCTCGAGGGCGCGAAGTTGTTCGCGCTTCGCGCTTCTCGGTTCGGCTCCGATTCCTCCTCATCCTCCTCTTCTCCCCTGGGAGGCGGCGCGAGAGCGCGAGGTTATTCGCGCAGCGCGCAGCGCGCAGCGCGAAGTTGGGAGCCCCTGGACACATCGACCTCTCATCGCCAAGTGATAGGCGAGAGGGGCCCGATGGCGGTTTTGCCATGGGGGCCAGTCGACGAGCCGCTCCTCCCTGTGGCCCTGCCCCTCGCACGACGAGCTTGCCCAGGAGGCCAGGGCAGCACTCTTGGGCGCTCCGCGGGAGTCTCGAGGAGAGGACGCTTTTTTGCCATGGCGTGCAGGCGGCGTGTCTGTCAGGCGATCGCAGGCATGGGATTTTTGGGGCGTGGATTGGCGACGGGTCCCCCGCACCCGAACGAGGCGCCCCCGGCCGCACTTTGGGGAGGGCGCCTCCCCGCGATCCATGGATGTTGGGGGGCCACATGCGAGCCCCACCCCCCCCCCCTCAGAGATCGTGGGGGGTTAGGGGGGTAGGCTTCGCATGTGGCCCCCTGGATGTGGCGACCGCGCGCCTCGAGCCGCGGCTCGTCCAGCCAGGCCTGCGCGCCCCCACTACGTCTGGGCCTCGGGGGTGCTCTCGCCTCGGGCCTCCGCCGCGCCCCTCCGCTGTGCGGCTGCTGCGCGGCGCGGCGCGCCCCCCGCGCGGCCGCCGGCAGCAGACGGCCACGCTGCGGGCGCGGCCTGCAGGGGGCGGGGGGGGAGCACGCTCTGCCGCCGAGTCGGGCCCGTCCCTCGACGGGAGGAGTGCTCCAAAGATGGTCCAGCGATGGTCCGGGGACGGTGTTTTGGGCTCGGCTCGAGCATTTTGGGAGGGGGGTTCTT